TGTTCCGCACCTCAGCCGCTTGGCGCCTCGGTGCACACGCGTTTTACGCGTAATCCACGGTGTGGCGGTGTTTTCTCGAGTCATCCTGAGAGAATGACTATACCCTATAGGGCTCCAAATTCATCCAAATTCTAAGTTCACGTCCTGGTTGGGGGGGTTCACTCCATTCCCTCTTGATCCAGATTGACCATGGAGTTCCAAACTAAATAATCCTCCTGTCCTTCCAAATCAGCCCCTAGGGCTCCTGGCCCACCTCCGTTTCGACGGTGGGACAGGGGTGGGTGCCAGGGGGGTCGAATACCACCGAACCTGAGGATCTGGGCCAGGAGCCCTAGGGATGTATAGTCTCTCGAGTAATAAACCCCCATATATTGAAGAGGAGTTTCCAATTCAAACAAGGTGGGGTATCAATTAAGAGTCTACATTACCCTACCAACGGCCCTTATAGTTTCCCATGAATAATACCGGTTTTCACAGAGAAACCACGTGTCTTTTTCTAGGGAAAACCATGCTTCTGATAGCTTCCATATGAGGGTCCAGGGTCGCGTCCGGGTAAATATGTATATTGGGGGTATCATATGCCAACCCCCAACCCCCCAGGGCCTTTGCATGGATAATGATGGGACTGGTCCGACATCTGAGAAAGAGTGAACATCTTACACAGACTCCTGCAGGTCTTAGAAACAAATATCACACCAGGGCCTATAGTATATTATAGTATAGCCTTCCAAGACATGTATAAACAAATGGTTGAACTGGTCAGTCTAAAATCCTCTCTCAGGCGCGGGCCTTAGTTAGTTGTAGGTTTTGCAGGTGATTCACATCATTTCTGGGTACGCATATATACATAGACTCCCTTTCCCCCCCCCCCTAGTCTCTTTCCGTTTGGTATCCACCAATACCCCCGCACCAACAGCACAGCCCAAGTCACCGCTCGCGATCGCCGGCGAGGACCATGAACTCATGATCCGCCTGCGGGACGCCCCTTCTTCGGCGCGTCTGGCCGAGAGAGAGGTGAAGATATATGGACCATCTCTGGTTGGGAACTCACATGAAAGCGGCCAACGAGCTGTTTGTAGATGGAAACCATGGTTTTGTTACAAGGGGCCATGCGTTACCATGTGAGTTCCTCCGGCATATACAGGTCCATGTCACCCTGTCACGGACTGAACACGTCGGCTTAGCCATGAGCTCTAACAGGAATCCACCAAGTCATCCTTGGAACACCCTGAGGCACTTTCAGGATCAGTAAAAACAATAAACTGCATGCAGCTAATTGCAGCTAACTTGAAGGAACAACACTTAATGTATTAACTTTCCACAAACAGCACTCTCGGAACAACCAAAATTAATGAACCCATTGCAGCATGGTGCGAGGAGAACACACGTCACACGCTGCCATTCTCGGCGTGATGTTCAGGCTTTCTGCACTGGTGCAAAGCTCCAGCACGCTTTTTCTGCATCCAGAACGTGCTGCTGAGATCCAAACCCCTTACAGAACCAAAAGAAACACACAGCGATAACCACAACCAAAACTGCAACGATGATGATGATGATGATGATCATCATCATCATCATCCTCCTCATCATCACCATCATCATCATCATCGTAATATATATATATCATGATCATGCTCCCCTGATGCAACACCTGAGACCCAAAAAAACAAGTTGGGAGAACCAAGGTCGCCTCTCCCGTTTCACCTTCCCCTCTGTGCCTCTCCCTTCTGTGGCAAGTGATACATCTGCAGAGGCTCTCGGCACTCGGAGCAGACCTCAGCGGTCGCGGTCGCGACGCGCGCGGTGGATGCGCCCGGAGGCAAGCCGAGCGGAGGCGTAGCGCGTTCCTCACAATGGGGAAATTCCGGAATGCCAAGAAAGGATGTTCCTTTTTTTTTTTGGACTGATTCACATATTGTAATGTACTGTATCTCTTCCAGGATATCGATCGAATCGAGTTTCAAACAGCACCAATTGTGATGGACATCCATTAATTCGATCCATGGATCCCTACCCACAACCCAAACTGAACAAATCTGATAGCTATCGAGGGCGGACCATCGCAGTTCCACCATCGCAGTGTAACTGCATGCGATGCGGGGCCAACTTGTATTGTCTTCTGGCTTTAAAGCCCTTCCTGGAGGACGAAACAGAAAGTCTGAGACATTGACCCTACAAGAACTTCCTCTGCTGACCAATTGCAAGGCAAAGCTATATATTCTGCTGTCCAATCCACCTCAACTCGTGACGAGTAGAATATGATCTGCGTCTTCGTTGCGGGAAAAAAGACAAAACACACATACCTTGGGAGTCAAGTCGACTATAAAAAGAATGGTCTGACTAGGGGACCTGAGTTCGGGAACTTCCTTTACTTCAGCCGGTCAAGTGCCCCGCATACACCGACATCTAAGTGCCGTGCAGTGGACACCGCCCCCCATCTGCTGCGGACAGCCACCCATCAGACGCTGGATCCAACGCTGGATCTTGTGGCTGCTTTTCTTGGGGTGTATCTATAGTGCCTGTGGTGCCCTGAGGTGCCTCAACCAAAACCACTGAGCCATTGTCATTCCAAATCTGGAAGGTTGCTTGAATCTGGCATCCGCGTTGGAGTGTTTTGAAGCGGCTTGTATCTCGGAGCTCGGGGAAGTTGTTTTGGGAAAGTGGTCTGGTTCACTATCAGCCATTGTCATCATGCTTGTGACATACTGCTGCAGGAAGAAACCTGCCCTGCACTACGGCAAACCACCCCAACATGCCAAAAGGCTTTTCCAAACACCTCAGGTGCTGTATATAGTTGTTTTTTTTGCATCGCTCATCTCAAAGTTGCTGATCGGTGCGGTGATCTCTCTGCTCGACCACTTCGTCCACATGGATGGATTGGCCACTCATCGACACTGGCCCTTGCTCCGAAACAGCTGCACGGACCAGCGAAACAGCTACGGTGTTTCATGGTTTGTCACCTCCCAGGAGGATAGGCATCCCCGGACCTGAACGAACCTGTTCGGGTGTTGACGCATAGCAGGGGGGGACCTGAAGCCACCTGAACCAGGCCTTCACCGATGAACGCAGATCGATCTCAGGGTGAGTCCAAGGCTTCGAACGCGGCTTCCGCACCCATCGATCTGAGTGTCGTCTCAAAGGGATGGAACGAATGGTGCTGTATGGCGCCCTTCACGGCTGGGGAAAAAGAAGGCAAGAAGGCAATTGGATCCACATGGCACCTATTCCCTATGGATCCACATGCGCTCTGAGGTACGGTGATGTGTTCGGCATGTAGCCCAGTCATTCATACCTTCTGAGGAACTGTGCTGGAGGGACCAAGACATGTTGATGACCAAGAAGCTACTAGGTTGGAGGCCATTACTACTATAGCAACAAGAAGCTACTAGCAACTCATGTTTTGTTCACCTCATGATACCGAACGCCCCCCGCTGAGACGTGAAACTGAAAACCTGAGACCTGAAGCTTCAGCAGGGTTTGTAGAGGAAAGTCATTTTCCAAATGTTCAAGCATAGTTAGTTAGTTCGGGGAGACTTAGTGAACAAACCTAACTCTGAGTTCGGTGGCATCCCCCATTGATCACAAGAAGTCTTTTTGGCTGGGGATGCAAACAGGAACTGGAGGATGCAAGAATCCCATAGCCTACCATTCCATCTATATAGATACAGATCTTTAGAACGAAGATGTTCGTAGATCTACAGCCCAACAGAAGAGACACATGGTAGAGCTACTCTATAACTGTCCCCCTTGAGCTGTGGTAGCGAGACCTAAGTCAACCCCTTGCCAAAAAAGCCAGCGACAAGCCAGCTGCACCTTCTGTTGGCCTGAGCCACGGCAGTTGAGCTGACAAAGTCAAGCAAAGATCTATCAAATGAAGGGAAGGATAGAGCACCACTCCCAGCCCCACCAGTCCCAGAAAATGCAATGCTGGAAAAGCACGCCAATTCCCGTGTGGAACCTGTGGCTAGCGGCTAGCACCACCAACAGGCACCCCTAGTCTTGCCTAGTCTTGGCATGAGGAACCTCTCTTCACCCTGGTTCGACTAGGTTTGGGTCGGCTTGCCCACCAGTGCTTCATTCTGGCACCTTGCAAGAAAAAGGACTTCCTGATGAGATGAGTTGAACCCATCAAAGTCATCATCAAGATCCAGATGTCCATAACAACAACCCATGCATAATAACTTTCCCATACAGGTGATCCCCACAGATAGAAGCCACTAGCTGAAATCAACTAGCTGCCTATATCCGCAATCAATTCCTCATCTTTCCAGTGTCTTTACATGTATCTCCCCCGAAGGCTGCACCACCCGACCTCGCCGTACCCAACACCCCAACACCCCGCCCGCCTTCGGGGTCTTCGAAGGACGCGAAGCCGCGGGAGTTGGTCAAGGCCCTGTGCCGCGTCAGCAGATCCACCTGCCGCGAGCTGCGCGGGGCCCAGCGGAGCCCAGCGGAGCGGGTGCTCCGTCGCGGTGGCGGAGAGCTCTCACCCGCTGCGCGGGTGGAAAGGGGGGGGCAAGCTGCTCTTCTTGGGTGAGTATAGCCTGTACCAGGTGGTTGGGAGAGATGATTTTGAGGTGGAGCAACATGTCTCCCAAGGCTGGTCATTGGAAGAAGGGCCATCTATCAGAGCCACCCAAGGGTTGTCTATCGTCTCCAGACCCAAACACACCAGACCAAACAGGACAAATCAGTGTGGGTTTTTGATTCCAGGATGAGATCCCTTAGATTAGTCCGTGAATGAGGTCACTTTGAAGGTCCTGGTACCCGGAGATATTCAGACTAGTTCCAGAGTGAATTCCAGAGTGAACGGTGTAAGAAGAGCGTGGACGGGTTTTCTCCTGGGAATTTCTCAATCTCAATCTTGACAACACAGGATAGTGCAGGAGAAAGCCATACAACCGTTCTGGGCTTTTCTCACCTTGTCAGGAACAGAACGGAAGTGAACCGTCCCATGGGATCACGAGTTCGTAGAGACCACCGTACTCAGAACCGTAGTCTTTTTACAGCGCATTCCGACTCAGTCAGACTGTGTCTAATTCTGGGTCCTTTGGACCCCACTCTTTTGACAAATGTGTAGAAACCGCCACATCCACTGACGCGTGACGTGGCCCCAAATGACTTGGCGGATTTGGTGGTTTTCCGCAATCGAGATATAGCATCTCGATGGTGCACGCGAGTCCGAAGTCCGAAGCTCAAGTTCTGTGAAGCATGCCCTGCTGCCACAACACAAATACCCAAGATGAAAAACACGAACACTTCCATTGAAGAAGATTCTTGACCCACCACTAAGTGTACCTGTATCACTGGAGAAAAGGCTCCCAACCAAAAGAGCAATAGAAAGCACGTGCAACACTGCTGCAACACTTAACATAGGGAGACCACGGGAGACCTCCCAAGCTCCCCCAAAAAGAAGGGAAACAAACCAAACTCATTGGTTGGTGGTCGCCCTATGCACATACACAAACTGCTTGCGGCAACTCGTGGTCCAAGTTCAGGACGATGTACGGACACTTCCGGCAACCCACCGAGATAATCATCGGGATTTGACGTTGAATATGAAGCTCAAATATGGCCCCGGAAGGTCCGAGGTGGGTGATCCTATACCGCTGTGTTTTGTTTGTCAAAAAAACAATATCTGTTGATGAGTCGACGTCTTTGTTCGCCGCATTCGGTGCATGAACACGCCCGGGAAGCGCTGTGTCATGCGAGTACCTGGTTTCCGGGGGGGCTATCGGCTATCCGAGTACTTTTCTTGCCGGAATTGCCTCGACATGAGGGGATCTGGACCATAATTCAGGTGGAAATCAATAAGACTCGTTTCGAGAGACAAATAGCATTAGTCGCATCAGTGTACAGCTCAAACTTCCAACCCAAACAGCAGCATTTGCAATTCATGGAACAAAACTAGACGTCCTACACGGCAGCTTTATGCCCCAGCCATGATGCTCTCACAATCGACTGCAAGCGATGGGCCCCGTGTATTTACTGTATTGGGCCCATGGAAGCTCGTGGTTCTTTAAAACAAACTCCGACTTCAAGAAGACCTTTGCAAATCTTTGCAAGTAAAGGGAAGATGGTCCAACCAAGTAAGGTCTGTCTTCCCATGGATTGTTTCTGTGAGTCATGAGATGGAGGTGTTTGACCACCGTTCAACCAGCAGAATCAAATATTTAGGAGGTGGACCACCTGCCACGCCTCACGCGCCCTTCCGAACACACACGAAACCACCACCCTGCACGCCCAGGAGCAAGCCAGCGGAGCAAGCTGGCCAGTGGTTGTTCAAACTTGCCGGGGACGGCCTAGAGGATGTCTCGCAAATCCTGACGTCTCGCGTCGCGACCTATCGACCACGCGTCTCGCGTCGGTTGGACGAAAGGGGTTTCTCTCCGGGACTGCGGTGAGTTTGCGAGTTGGCCAAGGTTGAGCGATCTCTTCGTCTTGGGATTTCTACAGCGGACTTTCCCGAGCTTCAAAGGCGAAGGGATGTGGGCGTGTAGCTTGCGAAAAGGAGCCATGGGAGACCTGGCTTTTTGGCGGGGCGAGGCAGTCTGGGTTCGGTGTGTTCGGGACAGAACGACCGGTCTACCCAGGGTCAGGGTCTCCCTCATTTGAGCTACACACACCCACTGCACCTGGGGCAGCACAGGATGCGACGAGGACACACGACCGCCTGCACCACCATATGAAACCCGAGAAACAGCAATGCTTAAGGAGCCCCGGGGGTGGTGTTTGGAATCCTTATTTGCCACCGGATCCACCGACCACCAAACCAGGTCGCTACGGTGAGGAAGGAGACGAAGTTCGAAGTTCTTTTTGGTATGGCGCCAGGGTGTGGGAGGGCCCAGAAGTATTGAACCTGAGGTTCGGTGGCAGTGGATCCATAGGGCAGGGTTTTTCCAACCCTCTTGGACCTCGCCCAAGTCGCCTTTTCTCTTCCCCAGGCGCGATGCTGGACCCGAATCCTCTGGAGGGGTCATGGGTCGAATGCTTTGGAGGGGTCTGGGGTTTCTCACCAATCCCATGGGTTTTGAAGGACCGGGGTAAGCAACTCGCAAAGGTGCTGGAAATACTGAAAAAAAACACATCGTGATCCAAACAAAGCCTTTAAACCATGTACAAAATTGTACAAAATACAAGATCCAGTTATATAGTCCAGCAAATCTTTCTTGTTCCAAGAAAGAAAACCGATCCAAAGAACACCCAAGCAAAAGGGTGACCTCTTCGTCGCATCTTAGCCACCCCCGCCCCGGACGGTCGTCGAGAGCGCCGCTCCTCGAGGCCCAACTCTTGGAGCCGCACCCAGGCTTTGCCGAACTCCTTGGAGCGGCCGCGCGGGGTGGCCCCCAGTCAGAGGTGGAAGAAGGTCCAAAGAAAATCTGAGGTTGACGGTCAGGTCTACGTACCAGGGACCCCTGCTTGGGGTGTCTATAGCTCCTTAGAGGTCTCCAGGGGTATCCATTAGCCACCCCTGGCTCCGGGAGGTCGGTGAACCACGTCCTCTCTCGGGTGCGGCGACGACTGGGAGTGGTGGGGCCTCAGGAACTTCACAAGGAGATACATCGAGTTCCCACCCCACCCTCAAGGTATCATGATTTTCGAGAAAGGTGTTCTACTACGAACGGAGCGATCGGACGCTACGATCGGGGCTCCTGGCCTGCTATAGGAGCAAGAAACTATGAGCCAAGGGCATCGCTAATAGATTTTGCCAATGCTGGACTTGGGCGGAACACAGCGGGAGAGCAAACATCTAGAGTGTCGGAGACCGAACATTCCGAACCACGTTCCTGACTGTGAAGATACGAACAAACTCTGTGACAACTGCGACAATCGTGGACCAGGCTGGGCTCTCAAAGCATCCTTGAACATCCGATAGAAACCGCTCACCGGGTTCTCGTGCACACTAAACCTGCGGATCAGCATCTGATAGAAACCATTCACCAAACCATCATGTTCGTAACTGAGAAGCATCAATTTCTTCCATTCTTCAATCCCCAAAGATGCAGTCGTACCTTCTCAGGTTCGCTGAGACAAGAGACACTGTGATGTAGGTGTGTGCTTTTGTCAGGTCCAGTCATACCGATCCCTGGTGAAGTGGCAGTGGAGTTGTATAGGTATTTGTGAGTGGAGCATCGAACCTCACCGAATGCCTCAAACGGGTATCTTCACGTCTCCTCTTAGACCGGAAATCCTGGAGCCAGAAGTTTCCAGTCGAGACCATGGGCCCTACAAGTGTAGTAAAACCTGGACCTCCCTCCTAGAAGTCCCTAAGGCTCCTGGCCCACCTCCGTTTCGAAGATGGTTGGGGTGGGTGCCAGGAGGGTCTAACCACCGAACCTGAGATGGTTGGAGCCCTAGGGAGTATACATTCTCTTTTCCATGACCAACTGACCAACTCCAGTACTTCAGGTCGGCACTCACGTGCTGTCACAGGCCGTTGGATCGTTGGATTTGTGTCACACCTCCCCAGCGGGCCGAGGCGAGGCGAGGCGACTGAAGCTGCAAGAGGCCGAAAACCAAAGGTTCTCATCTTCCGCAAATTGCTGCACGTGCCTGGCGCGTTCTGGGCAGCCCTGTTCTTTTTTTGGAGCTCCCAGGTAGGTCAAGGTCTGAGGCGCATGGGTGGAGATTGTTACCTGTACACCCTGGTAGGTTGACCATGTCAGGTATAGTCCATTGGTCTCATTTTCTGTGGGAAGAACCAGGGTGTTCCGGTGGCATGACCCACAGCCATCTCTCTGCAAACCGACGAGAGATGCTGCGAACAATTGCACCGTTTCGTGGTGAAAAAGCACTGCGTTGCAGCTCCTCAAGGACCTCGTGGAATCCATGGATTGGTTCAAGGGAAAACCTGGAAAGCCATGGATGTTCATCCCTAGCACTATTCCCATGTATTCCCAAACCATCCATATGACTGGCCTGCATATGGGTGGTGGTTGAAAAGGAGTTTTCTTGGGGCCGCATCTATTAAAGTGCCATGGATGGTCTGGGTATGGGAGTCTCCAGTGGATCTGGTCGAGAATTCATGCGCGATGAGCGGCGCTGAAGGACGAGGCCCTCGACGTCCCTTCAGAAAGGCACTGGTCCCACCAATTCTATGAGTCATGCCGCTGTCATATGCCTCAACCAGGAAGAGCACCAAACCCAAAAGTAATGTCTCTCAATCAACCTGGAGTTTTGTTGATTCAATGTAGAACATTAAACCGAAAGTCCATGACTTGGACATCACCAAGTATCATGTAATATGTATAGTGGTTCATATGGACCCCCGTAACAAAGACAGGGTGCCAGTGCTACTCGATTGGCATGTCCATGTATGTCCCCGTGGCCCTGTAGTTAATCAACAGGTGCAAGAAGCACCACTGGCTCTAAGTTACTATGCTTCTCCTTGCATAGGAATTGAGGGACAGGACACCTTGTTATCCGCCGACGTGGAGAAAAAGGTGTCCACCCAGGAGCTGGTGCCTGGGTCTGATGCCCGGTGCACCGCTTTGCTCCCGGAGTTCACGTGTTCGGCCGAGAGCACTCACTTTGGTGTGCCGTTCCGCCGTTCCGCCAGGGGCCCCCGACCATTTAAATGCTGGATCCTTGATCAGCGCCATGTCCGTGTGCAGCATCCTTGGATCCGAGGTAGTAGAAAGAAGGAGATATTGAAGAGAGAGAGAGAGAGAGATGTGGTAGTATAAATGAGTTCTTGTTCCACTCAGCTGCTGATTTCTGTGAATGTTTATGGTTCTTGGGGTAGCTACTTTCTTGATTGGTGGGATGACACACACTCTTTCTACGAAAGAATAGGTTCGGTTCAATCAGAATAGTTCTAATAGTGAATCTCTTCCCACTGCCATCGTTTGATAGGGAGGATCAAAAAATGATACCCAGCAAGTCCAAAGGACAAGTGAAACATGCTTGGTACCCTTTCGCAAACCAACATGGAACCTGGTGGAAGACCATTTTCCTCCACAACCCAGTGCGGGGATGTTCATCTGCAGGGAGTAAAGGACACATTCACCACTCCACTTTGAGAACTCAGATCGTATTCAGATCGTTTTCTTTTCAGTGCCTTTCACCTCTTTTGTTGGCAGGGTACACAATCTAGACCCCCTAAATCCCCACTTCGAATATATTTGTTCAACCGTGCCACGATCTGCACGGCACGTGTTCTGGGGCACCCGCCATGCGTCACCGCATCACCCGCAAAAACCACACCAACGGTGCACTCTCCCCCCAACCGCACGGTTCACGTTCTGACCACTCCAAGGGTCATGGTTTCGCCACAGCGGAACTGCGACTTCCCTTGGCTGGTGGTTTCTTCCGTCCTCGGGCCGTGCGGAAGGGGGGGCCTTGGCTGGTGTCTTCGGAGGCGTTGGAGCTGTTTCGATGTTTCGAAGAGCAAGGAACAGGATAGGGTCACAGGACTTGTGCGCTTGGAGGAGGGTCCAATCACCTTCTCAAAGGGTATGTGGATACCCTAGAAAAAGCATGTGAGCCCTGTCTTGCATCAGCAAGGACCCTCCGACCCGGAAGCTCTTGACCCAATGGCAACATAGCGACGTGGATGGTTTTCACCCTGTCAGCTTCACTGCCTATGAAACTGTAAGCCATACGGTGTATTGGCAAGCCAAGCCATACGGCTGCGGCTTGGTAACTTGCTTCTATGAATGAGTACATGTTCTTTTCACCATGGCAAGGAAGGATTCTGTCCAGCCAGCAGTGGTGGAACACTGACACCAACACCTCAGGTATGATACCACAAGGCCTTTTAAGGCCTTTTAGGTATCAGCCTGGTTCTGCAAAGTCGACCGAACTTGATACACTGGCTTGAGGTCACACACAGGCCTGGAAAAGATCACATCTTTAATTACTTAGGGGCTCCAAACAGGTCAATACTGAAGACACTGGCCTTTTCTTCTTGGTTCATCAGCAGCATATTGGCTACGTAATGTCTTTGCTCCAAAGACCCTGTAAAACCTGGTACTGTAAACCTCCTTGAGTACCTCAGTATTTCGTTCGAACTGACCTGTAAGGCAAGGTGATGGCACCATCGACCTTTGTGGTTCTCCAACGTTCGTGACGACGGACACAAACCGGCGTTCTGGCGTTCTCCCCCACGTTCATCGACGGATCGACAGAAGGCCCAAACACTCCATGAGCCCTAGAAGTCGAACCACCATTGTTTTACTAAGGGTTTTACACTACAAAACCAGATCAACCATTTTAGACTTTGACTTCCAGGATGGGACTGAAATATTTAGCTACTTTGGAGTGGTTCCTTGGATCAACGACACTCATGATAGGTAAAGATTCCAGTTCTATAGAGTGTCTGGGAAGGATACCAATGGACCTGACAACTTGGTCTGCAAACCATCGTATCCTTCTTTTCGTGGAGGTGCACAAGTTCTTTCGGTGCGTTTCGTACGCTGGTCTCTCGTCCTTGGGGAAACCCTCCGTGAAGACACCAACAGCTCAAGCCGTAAAACCAGCTCAAGGCGCCATGACTTGCTGAGCAAGTCCTTGAAATAGGAATTGTCGAATTTCAACTTCCTGAGCTCCGCCCTTCTCCGCGGACCGTCCCCCCACCGTGACACCCGACGAGGTCGTCCGCATCACGTCCGCCTCCACGTCCAGCCCCACCGTCGTCCCGTTTTTCCCCCCCCCCCGGACGGGGGCGGACGTTCGGCACGGAGGGGTTCGGGCGAGAGGTGTCCGACGCTGTGGACTGGCGTGGACCGTGGCGTTTCTGCTCTCAGAGACTCTGTGGCACGGGGATTCTGTGTTTACATGGACCCCCTGACACGTATTCCATACCCCTGAGCCTATTATGACCAATCCACCTTTGTTTTAGTCAAAAATTTACACTACGACACCAGTCGTCCATCATTTTTGCTTATGGTCTGGGACTTCCAGCGATATCATAGATGGAGTGTCTACTGGAGTGTCTGCGGTTGTAAGCCTATCTTCCTGGCAATCTGTCCATCGTCCTGGATCTAGCTTCGCTTTCTTTTCCAGTGATGGGGGATCCAGCTTGGCTTGAGGCCCATCATAAAATAAAAACACGCCGGAACCTGCTCCACTGACGCCGCCCAGAACGAAGGTGGCACGAAAGGTGCTAGCCCGGATGGTCATGCTCCATGCGACTCTTCAAAATCAGCCAAATTTAAGGTTGTTATCCCTAGACCTCCAAGTACCCTCTGAGAAGGTGTTTGGGGTGGGTTTGGAGGGTCCAAGTACCTTCTGAGAAAGTACTTGGAGGTGTAGGGTATATGTCTTGTTTCCTTTTTGACCGCAAGGATGGCAAAGCAGTACCATGGCAGGTTGGGAACCCTCGTCAAAGATATATAACTGCGGAATCTGTATCATTTTGAGGTGGTATACTGACTAACTGGCCACACCGTACACCCTGAGTAGGTTATCTTCCTGTTCCATGTTTTATCATGCTTGACTGAATGAGTGCACTGACAAGACACACATGCGCACCTTTGAGTTGTTTCTTGCATGACCATACCTGCTTCAACCCATAGCTATCGTACGGAGTGACGTCCAACGGTGTTTTTCGTACCCGAAAGCTCCTGGGAATCCTGATGGAAGTGGATAGCATGGTCCCTTGGATGACCACTTGTCCAAAATTTCAAACAGTCTTAAGGAGATGTATCTCCTCAAGGATGATCCGCGTATCCGAACAAACATCCCTTACCCAAATGCTCCATGAGACTGCCAACTTGGCCACCATTGGGTGGTTTTTGGTGGTGAATGTCGGCCATATACCGACTTACATGACCACATACGGCCTTGGCACCAAACCGAGCGACCTATACCTGACGTTGGTCGCGAACTCGCTTCATGAACTGGTCGGCTCACTTGAGAGGAGGGAGACACGAAAGGTAGGACAGCGGGAAGAGAAGAGAACGCGAGAGGCAGGAACAAAAATGCAATGTTCGACATGGTGATTTATCCCCTCGGAGGCGACCTTTCGTAAATATATGTTCATATGCACTTTAAATGTTCAAACATGTGCTCTCGAAATGTTCAAAAAGATTCTTAGGAAAACAAACTTGCCCCATGGCTCAGATCATCGGTGAGCATTGAATTGGAACATCATAGGATTTGAACTATCCTGAAACCAAAAGAGGCTCACGAAGACGCTCCCCAGGAGAGAATTGACGTGCTTCACAAAACAAACTCTAGGTATGTATCCCCTCGGGGAACACCTTTCGTGATTAGAATTTCATATTCACTCTTTCTGAATGTTCAAGAGGGTTTCAACTATCCTGAAATCATGAGAGGCTCACGAAGACGATCTCCAGGAGAGAATTGATTTTAGAGGGGGGGAGGGGGTGAAAGAGTGACTAGGGCGTACACGGTAGAGGTGCAGACCGCTAGTGTCTTTTATGCGCAGAGTCTTATCCTCTTGCTCTTTGAGGTCCATTGACCCTCTCTTGAGCCTTATGGCAGTCAAGCATGGACACACTAGATAGGCCACTGGAGTGGAACCTGTACAAGTAGGCCTCTACATTTCAGCAGGCACAAAATTCATGTCCACTCCTGCCTATTGCGTATGTCGCACACTATTTTTCTACCGTAAGGCTAAAACAGTCCAGCTAGCTCTGACAACTTAAAAGAAAACTACGGTGCCATGTACTTACCTAATCCAGTGTGTTTCACACTTCAGAGAAGGTAATCTCATAGCTACTAAATACAGTGAGGGAGCAATAGCTGACTCACCTCAAGTACAAAATCAAAGCGATAATGTACCTCGGCTGGAGACTGTACTTTTCGCAGGCGGAGATACCATGTACCGGCGCTCACTAGCTCTTTAGGGCCTGAGCTAAATCAAACTAAAAGGGAAAGCGGCTTTTTCTCTACAGAGACCTATAAAAGAATCAAACGACACTCGCGTAACAAAGAACTAAAAGTTCAAGACCGCACAATGCAATGAATTACGATGCCTTGCAAAATGCAAGGAGCGTCAACTCTCGGTCCGAGGAATGGTCTTCTCGAAAAGTGGTCTCGACCGCTTTCATTCACAGACAAAATAAAACTGCATCAAAAGGACTCTCTTTCACATTCACATCAAAAACACAAGAAGGAGATACCGGCAAATGTATGTACAAAACTTGCACTACAAATGCAAATCATGAAATGACTTAATCATCAACCATGACTGGTTGTCCATTAGAGGTCATCTCAGAAAAGCGACTGTGATAGATATCATCAGTTATGCAAAACTGTCCATACCTATCTACATGCTAAAGCGTATAAACCTGGAATGCAGGAGTATCTTCTTTGATAAAAAGTTTCCCCTCATTGCAAACCAGAATTTATTAAAACTTCAGCCTGGCAACTTAAAGTCAAGCCTGGAAGCAAAGTATCAACTGTAACCAGAAGTATCTTCACTTCCTAGCCATCATTTAAATTTCAGCCTTCGCTCAGGAATTATGCCGCTGCAGACGATGAAGCTGCTTGATCAGAAGTTGGCGGCCTTCCTTTCTTTCTATTCTGCTTCTGTCTCTCCTTCCTCCGCAAGTTCGCCTCATGAAGCGTTGCTCCCATGCGATACTGTCTTCTGTCTCCAGATGAAAGGGAAGCTGGTCTGAGTGAAATAAACATTGGACCATGACTGTCCTCGTCAGTGGGCCTTGAGCACATAACCTCCGTGTCAATCATAGCAAAGTTCTCTGAAAAATTACAGATGAACTCCTTCGTGCTCACTGTGGAATTTTCATATTCCTCTTCACTCATTGAATGACCCCATTCAACAATGGTAGACAAACATGTATCGCCAAGCTGTGATCCTTGGTATTCTTCTTTTTCAACAGTAGAATATTCTTCCCAGAGTTTGTCAAAGTAATCTTCACACTTCTTGAGGACCTGTGAAGTTGAACTGTAAAATGTTCTGGGAATAGGTGCTTTGATACCAAGATCTGCTTTTACACGAGCTTCTGAAAACCTGCGGATCCAATGCTGCATGGTGCTGTAATAGTAGTTAGCCATTGGCTGCCTTTTGTACCCAGACATTCTGTAGGCCAAACTATTTGCATCACCAGAAATGATGTCCACCTCATAGACAAAACACTCGTAAAGCATCAATGCTGTCTGTTCTCCTGTCAGTAGGTGGGCATCCACAGCACGGTGTGTATCAACATGATAATTACAGACTCTGATGGTATGCATGTTCGCTCGAGTAAGTGGAACACGCTTGTCCTCAGGACCATAGTCATCAAATTCAAAGTCTGCATCCTTGAAATCTTGACGAGGCCTTGTTTCTCCAAAACAAATCTCGTAGATAGCCCAAGTTACATCACGCTGTTCACAGTGACCAAGTTCTTGATCATGTCCAGCAATGATCTTGACATATCCACCTGGTGCCAATCTAGCCATCACTGCAAGATTCTCCCAATCATTGAAACAAACTGTCCAATTCTTTTGCTCAATAAATTCCTTGGCAGGAACAAGAAGATGAGCTTCCTGGAGAATCACGACATGTGCACGTAAAAAGAAGAGCATGTTGAAGAAAAGGTTGTTCTCAAATTGCTCATTCTGAAGTGACATGGCGCTCTGTTTGCGTGGCCTCATTGCACTATCAAGTCCTTGGAGAAACCTTGGTGTGGTGTACTTCTGACCGCGAACCATGTTGCCATAGTTCCAGGATAAAAATGTCAAGGACTCTGAGCTGGCCAATAAATTAGTTCCATATGGTTCTTCTATTCTTCCCTTGAGGAACCTTCTGCACAGCTCTTCATAGAAGGTGACAAAGTCCCAACTGGGTCCCTTGGGACCATATGATTCCAGTTCCTTCTTGAGTTCCTTTTTCGTATCCTCCAATTCTTCTCGAGCATGACCTGCCCTTTCAAGGGCCTTTGGATCGACCTGATACCTGCCATCCAAATAAATGATGCGGTCATCATTGATGAAGAATCTCTTCAAATCATGCTCTGGTTCATGTTCATAACAATCAGGTGGAGGTACTGGACAGATATTGCGAATGGATCGAACAAAATCATTCTCGTTGATCCTTGACTGATAATGAGGATGGGAAATCTCACCTTTTCTGAAACAAACATGATTCAGCAATCTTGCATGAGTTTCCCTGAAGCATAGTTGATAAAAGCCAATACCTGGATCTCCTGTAAGCTCTCCAAGCAACTTTAAAGGTGAAGTGTGCAACTCATAGGTATTGTCAGCTTTTGTTGTATCCTTTTCAACAACTACTTCAGATGGAAAAGATTCTTGGATTTCAGCCTCCAATTTCTTCTCTCCATCATCCTCTCTGACCTCTTTTATTTTCTCCACCGCCTCTTTCTTCTCTTCCATGGTTGCATCATCCTGAACTTCTTCATGAAAATGAGGATCAGGAATCTTATTCAGGCGGCTTCTCTTCGATTTCCGCTGACCTGAAGTATCATCAAGGTTAGCATCCATCTCACCTGATGGTAAGTGCGATGCAGTTGAGTCTTCACCTATCTCTCTTGACAGAAAGTGTGGTGTTGACTCTTCCTTGGCTTCCTCCTGGTCGTCTTCCATCTTTGGTTCCTCTGAAGGAAAGA